TTTTTATTCCTTAGCACGTACCTAAAGGACATACAGTAAAAAGCTCAGTTGGTAAACTACTTGTCTAAATTTCTCTATGATAGGGACTGAATCTATAAGAGCTGTTTCTGACCTATGTTAAATTCGCTTTCTAAGGTTGAATTCAACAGTTTTAGTTTCTTTTCTTATGAGTTTAAGCTCTGTAAGATTAGCAAAGAATGTGGTTGGGCCACTATTACTTGAAAGTCACTGTAGAGGCTGAGGAAACTGGCCATATTAGTTACAACTTCAAAATAAACAGTTAAGTAAATTTGGATGCAAGTTTTCATTTTATGTTACTGATATATACCAAATCCTTTGATGTGTAGTTTCCTCTCCTTTCAAAGAGTTCACACTTACAGACATTGATCTCCCTCAACAACGAAGAAAATTTAGATGAAATTCAGATTTCTGACATTCCCGGTGGTGCAACTACTTTTGAAATATGTGCTAAGTTTTGCTATGGTATGACCGTTACCCTCAATGCCTACAATGTAATAGCAACTCGGTGTGCAGCAGAGTATCTTGGAATGCATGAGACCATTGAGAAAGGAAACCTCGTTTACAAGATTGATGTTTTCCTTAGCTCTAGCATTTTCCGTAGTTGGAAGGATTCAATCATCCTTCTTCAGACTTCAAAGTCTATGTTACCCTTGGTTGAGGACCTAAAGGTAGTCAGTCATTGCGTTGATTCCATTGCAAATAAGGCATGTGTTGATGTATCCAAAGTTGACTGGTCCTACACCTATAACCGGAGGAAGCTTCCAGAGGAAAATGGGATCGAGTCAAACCAGAATGGACTCAGAACAAGACTGGTGCCAAAAGACTGGTGGGTAGAAGATTTATGCGAGCTTGAAGTTGATCTATACAAGTCTGTGATTTCAAATATTAAATCCAAGGCATTTCAATCCAATGAAGTAATTGGTGAAGCTTTGAAAGCGTATGCTTACAGAAGATTGCCAAATTTCAGCAAGGGTATGATCCAGTGTGGGGATGTGTCAAAGCATCGTGTAATAGTTGAAACTATTGTGTGGTTGTTGCCTACTGAGAAAGGCAGTGTTCCTTGTAGGTTCTTACTCAAGTTGTTGAAAGCTGCCATTTTTGTAGAATCAGGAGATAGAACTAAAGAAGAGCTGGTAAAGAGAATTGGGCAACAGCTGGAGGAGGCTTCTGTAAGTGATATTTTGATTCAAGCACCAGATGGGGATGCTAAAATGTATGATGTCAGTATAGTACAAAACATTGTTACAGAGTTTTTTACGAAAGATTACAATGTTGATATTGAATCAGTTGCGGGTGGTGAACTTGAGGGAATAAGAAAACCGGGGATTTTATCAGATGCTTCCAAGCTGATGGTTGCAAAACTGATAGATGGATACCTTTTTGAAATTGCAAAAGATCCCAATTTACCTTTGTCTGATTTTGTTAATCTTGCTGAGTTAGTGTCTAGCATCTCTCGTCCAGCTCATGATGGCCTTTACAGGGCTATTGATACATATCTGAAGGTAATTGTTCTCAATAAGAATTATTTTATTCAATTTGCATTTTCATTTTGGCTTTGATAGTGAGCTTCTACACTCTGGTAAATCCGTATAGAAAATTTATGTACTCACTCAATATGCAGTAATATTTTAGCTTCACTCTTTTTTAAGTTGTATTAGGAGGTAACTAATTCATTTGCTTCTATTTTATCTTGCTTCAAATTTTTAAACACCACAGGAGCATCCTGGGATCAGCAAAGGCGAAAAGAAGAGGATATGCAAGCTGATGGATTGTAGAAAGCTATCAGTTGACGCATGCTTGCATGCAGTGCAAAACGAGAGACTACCATTGCGTGTAGTTGTGCAGGTACTATATTTTGAGCAGTTAAGAACTGCTGCATCATCCGGCACTAGCACTCCTGACATACCTAGAGGAATCAAAGACTTGAACAATGAATCCAATGGAAGCTCAAGGTCAGGGACAACTAACCCAGAAGACGAGTTGGATGCTGTGGCCACAGCTGAGGAACTGAAAGCATTAAGAAAGGAACTTGCATCATTGAGGCTGAGCAATGGAGTTGGAAACAATGACAAAGATGGAGATATCAAACCCAGCATGGACAAAGCTGTCATTGGCAAGGTGAAAGGGTTGCTCAAGTCAAAAAGGTCTTTCATAAAGCTTTGGGCTAGCAAAGGGGGTCAAGGGGAAAATAGTGGCTCAGACTCGTCAGAGAGTATTAGTTCTGCTAACCCAGAAGAAGCAAAATCTACTCCTTCCAGAAATAGGAGACATTCAGTTTCCTGAGAGTAGTTTGGTTCGTTTTGTGGGCTTTTCTATTATTGCTTCTTTTCTTTCTTTCTTTTTATTACTAGTTCACTATGACAAGATTCCAACACCAGTGGTTAATATCTTCTATATTGAGTAGAGTACATATAGTTTAAAATAGTTGAGTTGTGAAGAATGGAAATCATGTAATCAAAACATCTATCCTATCAATAGTTTTTAAGCTGCCCTTCGCACTTCCTTGAGATTGAAATATCCCAAGATTACAACCGCACACTCCTTTTCTCAGTAACTATTTAAAGGAAACTGATGGTATAAATGGGAATTTACCACTTACCACTATAATGTAGTGATGTAGTGTTATCTGTTACTTCCATGTGTTTTTGCTGAAACACTGACAAGAATTCATGGTCTATTATTTCGCACCTAATATTTGAATAACTTTTTAGTCTGCTATAAAAGATGTGCAAGTAGAAGTAGATTCGTCTGGTATATAAAATAAAGCTATTGTTTCGGGGGGATCTGAGAGGCTGCCAGATGACATTTGCATTAACATTTTGTGGACCTGCAAGCTTTCCATTATTATAGTTTGAAGTCAAACCAGTGGTTTTTGCATATAATTTAAAGTCCACTTGTGGAATCTTTAGAGATTCATTCTTATTTACTTCAGCATTGAAGAAAGGAATTAGTGAGTGTAATCCAAAATGTGTCAAAATGTCTTCGATTGAGATAATATCTTAATGATTTCATACTAGTTTTAATGACTTTATTTTTGAGAAATCATAATGATAAAGCAATAGAAAAAACTTCAATTTTGAAATGGAATAATAAAGTTAAACTATGTTAAATCAATCAAGTGACATTAGGTGGCGGTCTGAAATTGTAATTTAATCATCCTTGTTTATCCAAACACATATCAGAAGAAACCAACCTGTTCCCTAAAATCCACATAAGCATGCTTTAAAATGCACGTCACAAACATTGAAAATTAATTGTAATCCGGCACTGATTAATCGCATAGCAATCCTTCAAGGTTTGGTCAGTAATAGTATATTAATTAAATCAAGGTTACTCCTTAGGCCAGTTAATTGTGCCGCGGCAGCTAGTTTAATCAAACTCTAATAAATATTACTAATGCCACCAAATAGTTACTATGTTATAATACTTTTTAATAACTTATCTGTTAACTTCAGTTGGTTAATATTGTACTTTTATTCACTTCGTTTCTGTCACAAGTTGTGTTAAGTTTCAGAAGCTATACTCCAAAATCTAAAAGCAACATTCGTTTATTACAAAGAGTGTCTAGATCAAAGCCGTAGAATGGTTATTTGTTACACACATAATATTGATAAAGATAAGAAAAAATGAAAAACCGAAATCATTGTGAAAAAAAGGTTATTACTTAATACTGTACACAAGGCCGTGTTGAAATTGAAGGGGTGGAGAAGGACTTTCTTTTTCCAACTTCAGCTGATATTAGATTCAACAAAAAAGGGTCAAATTCTTTGAAAGGTGCCTGTAAGCAAGTAATAATAATATTGGCCAAATTCCATTTGTCTTCCTGATGCATTGAAGGGACACATAAATATATGAATATAGTTTGTGTTTGTGATGAAGATACACCAATAATAGTCCCTCTATTTCACAAACTAATTTTGAAATGTGTAGGGCCTAATCAAACATAATTATAGTATTAGTAGTATGCAGGGGATAAAAAGGGTCCTGCCCCTCAAATTAAATATCACAGCAATTTGGAACTATTGTGGAGTTCTTTAACCACATAAGATAGATGCATGTATATAAGGCCAAATTCTTAGCTGAGAAAGATTAACCTAATTGGAATCCCATTCTCCATAGACCTTAATTTTGTTGGGAAATACGCCAAACTCTTTTCATGTGGATGCAGATGTGGTCCATTTCGGATAAAGATGCCAAATGCCACGTATCCAACTTCTGACCATAACATCCAATGCCTTTTGTGTAGCTTTATACGCCAGCTTAATCATTATCATCCTTGTGTCATGCATCATCAGACCTCACTCTACTTTTTTAATCAATTGGTATCAAGCTCTATTGATGAACAAGCAAGTTCGGGATGGAAATTATATATTCATTTCTTCGAAATCAAAGTGTAAAAATGTCTTACTGAAAAGCACATGGGAAAGCGTTGAACAGAAGATAAATCTAGCAACAATTAATATCATATAATAAACTGTAACGAATCACTATATTCATGACAATACTGGAGCTTCCATTCACATTGATCTGAATAAGGAATCAAGCAAGAACTTGATGGTTGGAAAAATGCATATACGTTGATTTGAATCCAATCCAACTATGGAGAAATTCCAACATCTGCGGAGAACCTGAGCAGGCCCAGAACACCCGTTTCTTTGGAATACTATCTAGCCACACATTGTTTCCACAAGACCCTACCCATCAGTAACTCAACCATGGTTGAATTTATATGATATAAAATTAACTACAAGTAACGTTATTCTAATATTATATGTTATATTAATAAACAAATGTGAACAAGATTGGTTGATTAATTGATGATGCATGCATGTCCCACACTCACTTTATATATGCCCAACTCACCTTTCTTCCACCATATATATAAAAACCTGCATCCTTTCTGCTTCTACACTCACTGTCTGATCAGTCTAGTTGATTCATAGTAAGAGTGTTGTGGAGTGGATCAAAAGAAGAAAAATATGAGCTGCAATGGTTGTCGTGTTCTCAGAAAGGGTTGCAGTGAGAACTGCATGCTACGACATTGCCTACAATTGATAGAGAACCCACAAGCCCAAGCTCACGCCACCCTCTTTGTGGCCAAGTTCTTTGGCCGTGCTGCTCTCATGTCGTTCCTTTCCGCCGTACCTGCCAACCAAAGATCCGGTACGCAATGTAACCTTATCTATGTATGCATAAAAAACAGTTGCCAAGGTACATATATGGGGATACATGAGTTATGTGCTTCTGATTTTCTCAGAACATATCCAACAGTACAATCTTTTAAAAACTTCAAAAAGTTTCTACAGTTATTTTACAATTCTTAAGTACTGTTAAAAACACTTGCTTATATAAGAAATTATTATACATAAGAACTAGTTCCTTAGGTTAAGAACCCCAGAGCCACTCCTACCAAAGATGCTTTTGCATCACTAATCTTTCAAATAGCAAACTATAAAGCTAGAATGATATCATAATATCGTAGGCAAGCCAGTTCCATATAACCAATTGTTTTATCTTCTCTAAATAATCGGCCCCACGGCCGGGTTTCCAAATTGAAGTGTTAGATAAGAAGTTCCATCAACATGTATTCTTTTAGCATATACAGTATGTTATCTGGTTCCGTTAAATTAGATGAGACATATAGTTAAAGTTTCAGTATGCAACTGCAGTATATAGCAAATCGTTTACTACTATAATGAACCATATATAGGACGATTGATGAGGAGCTTAATTATGCAGCGCTATTTGAGTGTGTGTGTTTTGAGGAAGTTTGGAGAAAAAGTTGTGACATTTGGTGTGTGTATGTGGCACTGACAGCTTTGTTTCAGTCACTGCTTTATGAAGCAGTGGGGCGTACTATAAATCCAGTGAATGGAGCAGTGGGGTTGTTGTGGAGTGGGAACTGGCAGCTGTGCCAAATGGGTGTGGAGAAAGTGCTCCGAGGTGGTGCTGCGTTGACCCCACTCCCTCACTTCCTCAGTAGTGTAGATGTGCACCATCAACACCATGTAACTGAGAGAGTGATGATTGCAGGTGGAACATTGTGTCACCAGGCAAAGAAGCAACGTGTGGGGACACCCTCCCAGGAATCTGAGACCTCCTATATGGGACGTAAACCACAGGATTCTGCCCCTCAAAGTCAAAGGAACCTCCTTACACTATTCTTCTGATACCTTAATTGCGTTTCTGGGGATTCACATGCTTTTATCAAGCTGATGTTAGTGGCATAATCAAAGAGATATCATACCATAACTAGAGATCGAAATCGGTTTTACCATTTTAAGGATAGGAGTTACTCTTATCTTTTAGATTAATTAGCCCTTGATTATGGCTGTAAATGAGTTGAGTATTTGAATGTTATAACCATTGAAAAATATTAATTACTTACATTTGAGTCATTAGTTTGTTCAAATGAGTAAACTTACCTACATTATTGTAGGTATTGTTAAGGTTGTTCTTCTATCATATTTAAAGTTTCATATGCAATGTATTAAATAAGATGTATATTATCAAGATAAATTTTTAACACCAACCATATCTATTGTAGTGTGTGCAAGTCTTCTTTAAATCTATTTCAAAAACTAAATATGACTCATTAAAAACAAACTTGAATTTTATGTGCTTAGTTCAATTGTAAATTAGTAATTTTTGTTTTAGGAAAAAAATTAAGTTTGCATTTTAACATTATGCACTTTTAATTTAATAAAAACTTTATTATTTTACCCAAAAAAACTTTAATAATATATGGATACAAACATGTTTAATGCAATGTAAAACTAAAATAGTTTAGACAGTAATATTTTCGAAATTATTTAAATAAAAAACTTTGTTGACTATTAAAGAAAAAACCTCATATCTTTGTACATTTGTAAAAGCGTCTCTTTTTATATCTATTTAGCATTTCTCAATGTGAAAAAGAGAGAATCCGCTTGACTTTTGAAAAACAGTAGAAAAGTATTGCTATGTCACCAAACTGAGACAACAAAATATTATCCTTCTGATTTTGAAAAAAAGATTGAGATTTTAGTCCTAAAAGAATGCGCACTTTCAACACATAAAAGAATATCAAATATATTAAAGCATACATTATAAAAAAATTAAAATTCAACAAGTTTATTATAGTTTATATAGATGACAATTTATTGCTAGATGATAACATAGACAAACTTTTACATTGTGTGTGCATTTTAGTTAAATTATTTTTTACATAAGTAGATACGTATAGAAGGAGTCTTAGAAAATAAATCTATAAAATTTTTATCTTTAAACTTTCAAACTCTAACTTCAATAGTAGTAGAAACGTAAGAATTCAAATTTTTCATTCCTTTTCTTAATTACAATTTAGATCACAATTTTATTATTTTAGTCTCCTAATCATATTAAAAGTCATGAAATTTCAATCCCAAGTACCAGTCCTCATGCTAACTGTTTACTATTGCTTAAAAATTGTCATAACGACATGTATCTACTAAGTTATTCTCCTATTGCTTCCAAACAAAGTTTTCTTTGCAACATCTACACATTTTCGTAGCTCTCATTTTTCTTCTTCCGGGGCAGGGGAAACAGTCTCGTTCTCATCGGACCGAACTCCGAATCTTTTCAATTGAGAAACAAAATATTTGTACAGGAAAATTAAACAATTGTCCAAAAGTCTAAATTTGATCATGGTAGCTTTCTTAAACGGATTGTTCTCAGTTGCATCTTTGCTATGCTGTCATGATTGCATTTCACTTGTTTACAACAACGAAGATCATAGACAACTTCAAACATATGTTCTCCCACCAGTTAGAAATTTGACAGTCCAAGAAGATATATACTAGGGATTCATACGAAGATCTAAGTAGCAAACTACCTAATGAACAATGATTAGTTGATTACATATAGATGTATACAGCGAGCTTAACTAGTGAGCGAAAGCCACCTCTTTTACTTTGTAAATTGTAATATTCAGACACAGATATACTACACACGACATACAAGACCACAACAGGTTTCAAAAATGTCAAATGAACACCAAAAGCTAGCAATTAACTCCATTCCATTCTTATTACCTTCTGTGTTATATGTCCACCCGGTGGAAAATAAAGAGTGAGCAGTCAAATAAGATCAGTTCTACACACATGTCAGGCAGCTAGAAGTTGGCGCACGAGAAAGTTGTAATGTATGTGTTCTTAAGCTACAATCCTTGACCTGCCAGATTTATTAGATTCAAAATAGCAATAAGCATTGATACAACTTATCAGAATTAGATAGCTTCAAGCAAACCTGATTTGCCTGCATGGTTGCTAACGAGGACAAAAACTCCTTGCAATGTTGAAGCAAAAACCTTTCTTTTCAGGTCCCATTTAGGATTTACGCCACCAAGCAGTTAGTTTCTTCCACCTGCTAGAAACTCAATGTGTTCAGATATAGCACCAGAAGAGCAAACAAATGCTTATCTGTAACCCAAAGGTCAATTCTCCCCAAGCAGTTTCTTTTTGCTACGATTTGGCTGTTGTATAGAGCTAAATGGTGTTGAATGGTCCATGTAACTCACCCAACCTAGTTTAGATGTTACATTTAGATAAAAAGTTTACCGAACAAAGCAAAAAGAATATGATGGTTGTTAGGTTCCAGACTTGGGAACCTAATATCAATTCTCACTTTCACTCCAAGAAACACAGAAAGATTGGAAGAAATCAATTGTATTCACAGTAAAAGGTTTGTACAAACAGCACCCAGAGGCATAACCCTCTTCAACAGGTAAGTACCCGTTAACAATCTAAACAATCAACAACCCATAACTCTTCTAACCAGCCAGTATTTATACAATCTTACACGCTCCCCCCCTTAACTGTCCTAGACAGTTAGTTTGTTATAGTCAGTTGCACTTATTCCTTCTCTCATACACTAACCACCTTTTCTTATTCCTATCAATGGTGGAAGAAATGAGCCCAGGCAATAATGCATAGCTTTAGAGCACCTATATTATTATCCAAGAAATAGTTTAAGGAGCCACAAATCAACAAATTCAGCAAAGAATGTGAGAATTCAAAACAGGTTACAGAAAATGCAACTGTCAAGTGTCAAGCCAAAATAAAACTCCAAATCATCTTTTTTTAACAACACGTCTCAACATTCAATTGGAACTACTCAAAAGGAGGTAGAGATTAAACATAAATAAAACAGAAATTGACAGGCAACAAACAGCAGCATATCAAATACTGACAATACAAAAAATAGGGATAGCATACCCAAACATAGAAACTAGTATGTATCGGAAAGTTTAGGTCAAACAAATGACGACAGTTAAATTTAATATTTGTTTCGGAAAAAAGTTGGAATAATATTTAAAGGAAAAAATAAAAAAGCCTCAATGGGTTTGACACAATTTGACTAATGACTGAAAAAATGAAAGTATTCCTTCAAACACAAATACATATTATCAAACAGAAATCAGAAAATAAATTATAGATATATGGGTTTCACGCAGACATTGCACATCTAAACTGACAATTAAAACGTCACCGTACCTGCTAAAGAAACATACAGAAGATATAAAAAAAAATCACCTTTGAAGGAGAGTATATTGACAAAGCCATTGCCTTCATCACATCAACTACTGACCCCAAAGCATCCTTTAGATTTGATAAATCAGCCTGATAAACAATAGCAGTTCAAAATTTGATAGTCTATTTTTAAAATAGTGCAGAGTATCCCAAAAAGCAAATTACGCTTTCCTACATCTCATTCAATTTAAGCTTCAGCTAATGAAAGATTACAGAAATAAAAAAACTCAAAATTAATTTTCAAACAAATTAGACTAATATGAGTTAATGGAAGTTGCTGTCATGTCATCTGCTAAACAAAATTGCACGTTTCTTTCAGGTATAAACTTTGTTGTAAGTTGAGCAAGGTATCACCAGTAGTCTAGACAAGAACAACTCCCGTCCTTAAAATGGTGAAACCGATTTCGATCTCTAACAATAATATCTCTTTTATATGCCACTGATATTAGCTTGGTAATAGCATGGCAATCCCCACAAACTCTTAGGTTTTTTATAATTCTTATAGGAAAACTTGAAGGAGATGCTATTAGTGCAAACGCTATAGCCAGCCTTTCACTGTGGTAAGAAAGGACATCTTCCTTATCTTCTTCTTCTACATCAAACAAAACTTCTGATGTTCTTGGTTTGTGACCATATTCTTGTAATCTTCTATTTATCTCCCCTATCTTCATATATATTTCGTTTGAAAGAGGGTGAGCTTTGTCACCTGTGAGAAATTCATGCATGGCACCATTAATATCCACTAAACTAAACCCAGGCAACTTGTCAACCCCACGATCCTTCATCTTCATCCTCATTCTCTTCATATCATTCCACTGACCAATGCTAGCATACATATTAGACAGAAGAACATAGCTTCCACTTGTTTCTGGTTCTAGCTCTATTAAGTATTTGAGAGCAGTTTCCCCGATCTCTATGTTGCCATGAAGTTTTGCTGCACCAAGTAAAGACCTCCACAAAATTGCATTTGGTTTCATGGGCATAGCCTCTAACCTCTCTTTTGCCTCCTTTAATCTCCCAGCTCGACCAAGAAGATCAATTAAGCATCCGTAATGCTGAAGATTCGGCTCCATTCCGTGAACACTCTTCATGGACTCGAAAATTGCGAGGCCCTCTTCTACTAATCCACCATGAGAACAGGCATACATAGTAACTACAATAGTTGCATCACTAGGAACTAGGCCCTCAAGTTTCATCTTTCTATACAGTTCAAGTGCCTGACCCCCATGACCATGAATTGCAAACCCCCCAATCATGGCAGTGTAGCAAAACGTGTCCCTTTCAGTCAGCTGATCAAACAACTGGCATGCTAGATTCAGACTTCCACATTTAGAATACATATCCACCAGCGTAGTTCCCACGACTAGATTCAGTTCAAGATTGTTCCTTAACACATAACCATGTGCCCAAGCACCCTGACTCAGTGCACCTAAATTAGAACATGCAGTGATCAATGCAGTAAGTGTAACTTCATTAGGCTTTCTCTGAGACAACTGCATGTCTCTGAACAAATACAATGCCTCTAATGACATATCAGCGTCTTGTAAACTTGTTGAGTCACTAACATGACTTGCACTTTTTGCGTAGGCAGCCAACATGGTATTCCATATGACCAGGTCAGGTTCATTGATTTGATTGAACAAATATCTAGACACACACAATTTTCCATATTCGGCATAGAATTTGAGCAGTGAATTGTTCACAAAGTGGTCATAAGGGGGTTGAAGGAATTTTAAAACATGGGCATGGAGGGAAGGACCATATTGGAGCCATGAACCAAAGCCACAAGCCTTGAAGAGGGAGGGAAAAGTGAAGCTATTGGGTTGAAGGGTCTTGTGGACGAGAATCTGGTTATAAAGTGAGAAGGCTAGATGAATTTGGTCCTTGTGACGAGAGAATGAAGAAATGAGTGTATTGTATAGGAAAACTGTTGGGCTTGGGATACGGTTAAAGATGGTAATTGCATAGGTGGAGGAAAATTTGGAGGATGTGTTAAGGAGGTGGCTCAGATAGTATGTCTGGAGTGAAAGGCCAGTTGCTACCACTTGAGCATGGGCTTGCTTAAGGGTGTTGAGGTTGTAGCATTTTTGCAACTTTTGGAGAATTGGGTCGTTTGATACGAGGCTTCTGGTTTTCATTTTCATGAAACCAAGTCACAAAGAAACGAGCAGAACCATGCAACATTTATTTGCAGACTAGCATTATATCGAGGGGTACAATCCAATTGAGTATGATACGATACCAAATAATAAGGCGGGCTTACAAATGGAAAATCGAAGAAAAGACTTTCAATAATAAGGAGATGAATACTTCATGAAAGTTTAGACGGTTGTTACCATGGTAGTCAAAATCGCGTTTCGAAACGTAGGATCGTCCGACTCGAAGATCTTCTTCTCCTTCTCCGATCTCGCGTCGTCTGAAAGATCTCATGCGACCATTTGAGCATGAGGCTGTGGCATTTTTGCAGCTTTTGACATGAGGTTTTGGATTTGATTTTCATGAAACCAACTTCCAAAGAAACGACCAAAACCATGGAACATGCAGACTATGTTATATTGAAGGGTATAACCCAATTGGGTATGATATGATCCCAAATAATAAGGTGGGCTTGGAAAATGGAAAATTGAAATTTGAAAATTGAAAATTGAAGACTAAAGACTACGACTTTCATCCAATAATCATAATGAACTGGAGACACAACACTATACGAACAAGGCTGAGAAGAATGAAGAATCAAACCGGTGCAGAAAAATAAACCATAAATAAAATTATATGGACCGGGCTCAGTAGATGGGTTCCTGTCTTCGCTGCTTCTTGTATAATTTTATTTTTGGCTACTTTCTTCTGTACCTATGTATGTTTCTTCCTACACCTCTATATAAAGAAACTTCCCATTTTATTTTTTAATTATGCTATCGGAAAACTAAAAATGAATTTTAGATTATGTGACTTATAAAATCAAAAATAATTTATAAGTTGTATAATTTAAAAGTAAAACTTTATTTCTATAATTTATGTAATTTGACAAATTTTTTAGATTGCGTAATTACAAAATCTAAAATTATTTTTTAATTCCAAATATTATTTTTTATTTAATAAAAACTTTATTATTTGTAAAGCACGCTTTAACATTACAGATTTATTTGTAAAGCACGCTGTAACATTACAGATTTATTCGTAAAGACTATATATACCTTGTTTTCATTTGAATAATGTAACATTCTCTCGTATTAATATCTATACCACGTACGTTGTTATAACAATCATGCTACCATTTGAGCATGAGGCTGTGGCATTTTTTCAGCTTTTGACATGAAAAAAAATATACTTTTGACACACCTTTTTTTTTTACTTTCTTTTTTTTCGAAAAATTAAAAAAGTTTATTTTTTTTTAACATCATTTTATCTTTGTTAGATGTATATCAATATGTGTTATGTTAGTCTTGCTATATTTGACACGAGGCTTTTGGATTTGATTTTCATGAAACCAACTCACAAAGAAACGACCAAAACCATGGAACATGCAGACTAGCGTTATATTATTTAAAAGTCAAAATTAATTCTTAAATTATATAATACAAAAATTTAAGAAAATAATTTTTGAATTACACAATTCAAAAAAGAATAGCATAAAAAACATTATATACAGATCGAGATAAAAATTGTAATTATTTCCAATGAGTATTCCCTTCTTAACCAAAAAGAAATATCTAAAGAGTGTCTTTCGAGGTTTATAAAGAATTAAAATTTCATATTAATCAATAAACTGTAAACAAACTGCTTGGCAACTTTTAATTTTAAGTAGTATTGATCTTTGTTTTTGTTTTAGGTGGAGAGAAGAAATAATATGACTAAATTGAAAAGAAAATTGAATATTTTATAATATGTTGAAAAAAATTCCATTTCCTAATTCGACAAATAGAATGAATGCGTTATTTGATAACAAAACAAAGAAAACGGTGGGAAAAAAATCTGCATAAAAATAATTCATAAAAGGGGTTTGTCATACTTTAACAGAAGAAATAAAATATAAAAAAAATAGAGAGATTAATTTTGAAAAATAAATATATAGTTAAGAAATGATTTATGTTGAAAATAAGAAATAGAATGGGATGGTTTTGTTTTGAAATTTGATTAGGTCACCCGCTCTCCCTACTTCGTGTGTTTAACTTAGGTGGATGCAGTCTTGTATCCAATTTTGAATTTTCCCTTCCCACCCCAAACTTTTCAAATTTCAACAAATCCCAGACATGGCATCTGCGGTTCCCGCCGCGACGGGGCGAGAGTTGTCGAATCCTCCATCGGACGGCATAACGAATCTCCGATTCTCAAATCACAGCGACCATCTCTTGGTCTCCTCATGGGACAAGGTATGTGTGATATGCATGCTCCTCTTTCTCACTTCTTTACTACTTACTTGCTGTGTATGCTATTAATTTTATTCTGTTGGTGGTTTTGTGTGTGTGCGCGCGTGCGATTCAGAGTGTGCGGCTGTATGATGCGAGCGCCAATGTGTTGAGAGGAGAGTTCATGCACGCTGGCCCTGTTCTCGATTGCTGCTTCCACGACGATTCCTCTGGTTTCAGTGCCGCAGCCGACAACACTGTTAGACGGTCAATCACTCACTCACTCACTCACTCTCTTCAATTTCAAATTTACCCACTTCTGTTGCTGTTGAGATTGTAACCTAGTTTGGTTGTTCCTTTTACTTGAATAACTAAATTACACATTTTTCTTTCTTATATCCTTAAATTACATTAGCTCTCCTTTTTTTTTCTTTATGATGGATTAACGTGAGTTATGCTGATTGCATGCTCTCGATTTTTCTCTTCTAGTGTCTCTCAATATCATTGGTTAGGTTTCTTGAATCACAACTGTTGGCATTAATGCTTCAGAAGATGATGTGAAAATATGAGTTTTGGGGTTTTGAGACTTGGTTTTATATTGTGAAGTCCAACATTTGATAACATTATGTTCGAAAGAAATTGCCCTTGACATTGGAAATTACGTTTCTTTACTATTTACTTTGGAAGATCACGTTTTTTAGAGAGATTAATATGCTTCACATTTAGTGGGTCATACCATCAGTTAGTTTATAATTCCAACTATCCGTTTTGGGGCTTCAGAACATGAGATGAATACTATTAGTTAAGTTCCAACACCGCAATTATGTGTATATAAAACATCATTTTTAATCTCTAAATTCCAAATTTTGACAGTACAAAGTTCAAAATTAATTGTCAGTGACTTTCGAAGTTGCATCAAGAAAACACCCCTTGGGAGACGCTTGTCTTTAGTTGCTGGTTACCAGTGAAAGAGATTGGTTTACATTTAGAATGGATTAAAATTTTAGACATTCAATCCCTATGATGGAGAAATAAATGTAATTTCTAAAAAAGGGGAGATGAAGTGTATTTTGAACATTTCTGAGCGGAAAGAGGGCATTCATCTCTAAGTAGAGGGGAGAATAACTCACCCTTTATATTATCATGCTCCAGGCTTGTCTTCAGCTCCAATAAAGAGGATATTCTGGGGAGGCATGATGCACCTGTTCGTTGTGTTGAGTACTCGTATGCTGCAGGTTTTTCCTCTCTATCTCTATAATGCTGACCTCATCTCATCTATGGTTCAATGCCACTGAATTCATTACTTAAAAAAGGATATTTACATCTATCTTTTCTGTCACTATAGGCCAACTGATCACTGGTAGTTGGGACAAAACGCTGAAATGTTGGGACCCTAGAGGCGCCAGTGGACAGGAGCGCACACTAGTTGGGACATATCCACAACCTGAGCGTGTGTACTCTCTCTCACTGGTTGGACATCGCCTGGTTGTAGCAACAGCTGGAAGACATGTCAATATCTATGATTTGAGGAACATGTCTCAACCTGAGCAAAAAAGAGAATCTTCATTGAAATATCAAACCAGATGTGTTCGCTGTTACCCTAATGGAACAGGTGAACTTTAACTAATGGCTAAAATACGATCATATATTTTTCTGAAGATGACGCACTATTTTTTCTTTTTGTTTCTTAGCCGAGATAGTTGTTACTCTTCATACTCAAATAACTGCTTTGTGCAGGATATGCACTTAGTTCTGTTGAGGGCCGGGTTGCAATGGAATTCTTTGACCTCTCAGAGGCTAGCCAAGCGAAAAAGTATCCATTTCTCTCTATACGTCTATGTTCTCCCTTTCTAACACTAATGTTATGTGATTATTTTGAACTTCTTGTTGCATAGATAATAGTATTTTAGTGCATATGAAAAACAGTATATCTTCACTAACTTCTACCTATTGGTGACCTTTGCCTAACCATCATGTAGATATGCTTTCAAGTGTCACAGAAAATCGGAAGCTGGAAGGGACATAGTCTATCCTGTAAATGCAATTGCATTCCACCCCATGTAAGAGTTCTTCACCTGGATTTTATCATCTCCATGAATTGAGGCACTCTAACAAGTATTGAAAATTGCTTGCTTAGTTGGTTCTCTAGGATTACAGTGTCAATAGATGTAGCGTAATCGTTCAGGAATCCTGTTGAGAAACATAAGTAAAAATATAAATCACATTAGAAAGAATTCTTAATAGCTCCCTTGTGACTTAGAGGTCATAAATTTAAATCGTGAAAACAGTATTTCCACTTGTGGGATTTTAGCTAGTTTGCACTATCCCCAGGACTCTCTCCTTGGTGGGGACCTTGAAGAGTCACCATTTTTATATTAAGAAAAATTTCTTGTTTAGTTATTTTTCGTTTAAGTAGATGGAGTTGATTTCTCCACATCTGTAGTTTGAGCATAAATACATGTAGATGAAAGTTCTTTTTCCCTTCTTTCATATATTTATAATTTCAAGAGATCCAAAGATGAAATGCTGAGACACCCATTTAATGGAGTTTGGAATTAAATGGTGTTGTCATCTACGCCTGTTAGTTAGTCGTTATTAACAAAACCACCTTATAAAAATGTCTGCAGATATGGCACATTTGCCACGGGAGGTTGTGATGGGTATGTTAACGTATGGGACGGAAACAATAAAAAGAGGCTATACCAGGTTTTATTCCTTTTTGCTTTGGGTTTAATTGAGTGACCAAATTTTCTTGATGTAATTAGTGAAGTGACTAAATTTCCGTTTTCTCTTCTAGTACTCTAAATATCCAACTAGCGTTGCCGCACTCTCGTTTAGCAGAGATGGACGCCTGTTGGCTGTTGCATCAAGTTACACTTTCGAAGAAGGACCTAAAAGGTATGTTTTGCATCTAATTATCTGTCTCTCTTATACGAACTAGTTTAATTAACTTTGTTCATTGCATTCACAGCAACGAATCGGATGCTATTTTCGTTCGTAGTGTAAACGAGATTGAGGTGAAGCCGAAGCCCAAAGTCTATCCAAATCCTCCAGCGTGATTCCTGATGGTCACTATGTGTTTTATTTTATTTTTTTCTTCATTTCTACTGTTGCACTTCTTCCTAGTGAACACCAAAAACTAAATGTAAAATCGCTAGCTTATTGTTGGGCACGGGTCACTGTCAATATGCTTTCCTATTGATTTGTCTTTATCCCCGTCAAAGTAAATTGAAATTGATAACAACACCCATATCCAGGTCAGGTTCAAAATATGAATTTTAGTGTGCACGTTTGTTCTCTAACCATGAACTTTGCCACTTTTCATTTGTTTATTCCCTCTCCTTTTTCCTTGGAAGATATATTGCAGTCTCTCGTATGATAAAAATAAAATAACATTGAACCTGACAGTCAAGCAGACTTGTTGTACTTCCACCTCAATTTTCGGCATAGAATTAAAAAGAAACTTGCCATATAAAGGTCAGCGTGTGATGTTGATCAACTAATGGAATCCAGTTAATCCTTATTCAACTAAAGATAAAATTGGAGGATGACAGATGTATCCCAATTGCAAAAATCAGAAGCAAAAGTAGTGAGCCCAACAGTAACAAGTGCTCTTGATCTAGTTGGCAAGAATGCCATAACAAAATTTGAAGAATTTATGTAAACGTATGGAGAAAATTTGTTTATTATTTATTAAAAGAAATATGGATACGACTTTTTCCTGACACGGCAAATTAAAAAGAACGTTAGCCAGGCTGCAATAGTGGCAAGAAATAGGGCTCGTGTTGCTTTGTGGTTGGAGTACATTCCTGGCTTTCTTCTTTTTCAATCCCAATTACCAGTCCTCACGCTAACTGTTTACGATTGCTTAAAAATCGTCTGTTTGATTCTGGTGATAATGACATCTATCTACAAATACATCTAATTTAGAAACTAGGTTCATTGGTCAATATTGCTTCCAAACAAAGTTATCTTTGCAAGATCTACACATTTTTGGTTTTCATTTTTCTTCTTCCGGGGTAGGGGAAACAGTATCGTCCGTATATTTTCAATTGAGAAACAAAATTTGTACAAGAAAATTAAATAATTGTCCCAAAAGTCTTAATTTGATCATGGTAGCTTTCTTAAACGAATGGTCCTGAGTTGCAACTTTGCTATGCTGTCATGATTGCATCTCACTTGTTAACAACAACGAAGTTCATAGACAACTTCAAACATATGTTCTCCCACCAGTTAGCAATTTGACAGTCCAAGACGAATAATGACACCGATGATATGCAAAAATCATGTCTCTGGTTGCTAAAACTACATTGACAAAATACAGTAAAGACATATACCAGGGATTCAAATGAAGATCTAAGCAGCAAACTACCTAATAAACAATGATTAGTTGATTACATATAGATATATACATAGACACCCGCTTTTCCTCAAATGACAAGGTAATTGTATACAGCTAGCTAACTAGTGAGCGAAAAGCCACCTCTTTTCCTTTGTAAATTGTAATATTCAGACACAGAGATATACTACACACGACATACAAGGCCACAAAAGGTTTCAAAAATGTCAAATGAACACCAAAAGCTAGCTATTAACTCCGTTCCATTCTTATTACCTTCGGTGTTATATCTCCACCCCGTGGAAAATAAAAGGCTGGGAGTAGTGTTAGCATTAAGAGTGAGCAGTCAAATAAGATCAGTTCTACACACGTGTTGTCAGGCAGCTGGAATTTGGCGCACGCGAAAGTTGTAACGTATGTGTTCTTAAGCTACAATCCTTGACCTGCCAGATTTATTAGATTCAAAATAGCAATAAGCATTGATGCAGCATATCAGAATTAGATAGAGCTTCAAGGAAACATGATTTACCTGCATGGCTGCTAACGAGGACAAAAACTCCTTGCAATGTTCAAGCAAGAACCTTTCTTTTGAGGTCACCTTTAGGATTTCCGCCACCAAGCAGTTAGTTTCTTCCACCTGCTAGAAACTCAATGTGTTCAGATATACCACCACAAGTGCAAACAAATGCATATCTGTAACCCAAAGGTCAATTCCACATGGAACTAAATGAACAAGTCAGTGATTGGTCTAGAGCAACAGTAATGTGAATAAAACAAAGGTGTCAATGAGGTTCTAGTCAATGCTTTTGCTACGATTTGGTTGTTCTATAGAGCTAAATGGTGTTAAATAGTCTATGTAACTCACCCAACCTAGTGAGCTTAGATGTTAGACTTAATCTGTCTACATCATATTAGATGGAAAGTTTACTGCAGCAAGTAAAAGAATATGATGGTTGCAGAAATGAACCCAGGCAATAATGCATAGGTTTAGAGCACCTATATTATTAACCAAGAAATGGTTCAAGGAGCCATAAATCAACAAATTCAGTAAAGAATGTGAAAATTCAAAACAGGTTAAAGAAAATGCAACTGCCAAGCATCAAGCCACAAAGGAATTCCAAATTATTGTCTTTTTTTAACAACACGCCTGAACATTCAATTGCCACAACTCAAAAGGAGGAGGTAGAGCATAAAAAAAGTAAAATAGGCATTAACATGCAACAAACAGCAGCACATCAAATACTGACAATACAAAAAATAAGGATAGCTTACCCAAACATAGTAACTAGTATGTATTGGAAAGTTTAGGTCAAACAAGTGACTATAGTTAAATTTAATATATGTTTTCAAAAAAGTTGGAATAATATTAACAGTAAAGAAAAAAGCATCAACTGACTTGACACAATTTGACTAATGACTGAAACAAGCAAAGTACTACTTCAAATATCAAACAGAAGTCCGAAAAATAAATTATAGATATATGGGTTTCATGCAGACGTTGCACATCTAAACTGACAATTGAAACATCACCGTAACTTGTAAAGAAACATACAGAAGAAATAAAAAAAAAAATCACCTTTGAAGAAAGAGAGTATATTGAGGATGCCATTGCCTGCATCACATCAACTGCTGACCCCAAAGCATCCTTTAGATTTGGTACATCAGCCTGATAAACAATAACAGTTCAAAATTTGATAGTCTATTTCTAAAATAGTGTATAGCATAAAAAAAAAATGTAGCACATACTATTGCTTTTTCAACAACCGGAAGACGGAGTGTACTGGCCTTCAAAGCTTCAGTTGCTCCAAGCAAAGAACTGGAGTGATCTCTATCTAGAAGGGCCCATTCCTCCAAATAAGAAATCTATATCCAAGAAAAATAAACTTTGATTATGATGATAGAACTAACTGATCAAATGACTTGATGAATGCTGATTACGGCTATCAACTCAAGTAAAAATAACATTTAATTCTTACAAGATATGCTTCGAAGTAACAATATTAAATTGCTATAATATTATCAAATAGTCAAATTTGCATCAATTCATAAACAGGAAATGCACTTCAACAGCAAGCAATTATTTATAACAGAAAAGCAGTACAGATTAAAATGTGAATTTTATCAAGCAACACCTTTCACAAGTTACATTCATTGCACAAGAGACATTATTTTAAAATTGAAAACGCTGAATCATACCTGTCCTTTAAGAATGGAAGTTAACTTCAACTTTTGCCTCAGTAATACAAGCTTGATTCTTTTAAGTATGACTGAATGCCGAAGTTCTGAAATTGTTACCCATGCATTCCACAAATGTCTCTGCCATAATAAAAATAATTTAGGTCAAACTATAGTTATTAGGAGGTGAAGTACTGTAATTGCTATCACCCAAAGGCATAGGGATTGTCATCCCAAACATAGTGGGAGTAAAACATTTCACAACACGACAAATTAAATGTGCATGTAGATATATACATACAAAAAACATAACTTCTGGATATGTGTGACCGTCTATCATGATAAAGATTTCAGAACACTAATCATGAATACAATTGTTGAATGTCACTAAGACCTGTACATTTCTGGGGCCTACAAATTGATGTAAGAAAGATTAAGTGGTGTCAACTTCCTTATATACCTGACTCAAAGATCAACAAGATATTAGGTCAAGCTATATACCAAGAGTCTTATGCAAGGTACACTTCCTCCACCTTCTATTTTCTGTATATATACTTAAGTGTACGAGTATTCAAAGACACCCTTTATCCCTGCATTTTATATGTTCTTTTGGTTCACACAGATAGAAGGTTGAAGAGTTTACATTTCCGTTTGAATCACTCCTAAACCTCTACTTGTAAGAAATTGCAAACATGAACCAAATATGGGACACCACTACCTATACATTTCTACATGATAACTTTTCACAAAACATCATCCTCATCAAGTCACTAGCAACAAAGATAACTTCTCATCAACCGTTATTTAAAAGTCCACACCTTTCTCTAACAAGCCTGCCACAATCTATCTGCAATCATAACGATAATTCTTTGAAATCTTCAAGCACTTACGAGCAATGAACATAGATGAGAAATACTATCTACATTTTCCAGGTTTAGATGCTACATTCAAGAAAAGTTATAACTATAACAATTTTCACCGTATTAGCCGATCAGTATTTTGTAAGCTAGCGTATTTCCTTGAAAATGAGGCATTACATTGATCTTATGACCTTAGCAGCCTAAACTTCTAGCACAGTGCATCTCAAATATAGTTTTCTAACGCATTCCTAAGCACATTGTATTCTATTGAGTGTTACAAGTGTGACCTGTTAATCTGAATCACTCCACAAAACACGCTACAATATACAAGCACTAAACAATACTATTACCAAAATAACTAACAATTAGACACATTAATGTCAAAAACAGATAACAGCAACTACAATACGTACTAAATATGGCATGCCTTAATACACATTTAATCATACCTCAGCATTTAGTTTCTGCACCATAAATGTAGCATCCGCCCTAGCATTCACGAACCGCCACTGAACATACCGGTTATACAGAAGCCTCAATGTATGTGCATCAAATATCCGATCTTCCCCAATCTTCCCTCTCCGCACATCAGCGGAGAAGCTAAGAATGGATGGTGAGTTACCCGAACCACTATTGATGGCGCTGGCAACTGTGCTTCTCACCCTAGCAGGACTAGGCATCCCTCTTGAAGGAGAGGATCCTGCCCAAAGCTTACTCGGCGAAGCAGGCCGAGCATTCACACTCCCCCTGACAGGAGAAGCCACAGTTCGTGGCGACAACATAGGACCATCACTGTTATATCTTTTCAACTGTGCATTTTTGTTTGGCAACCCGATCCTAGAAGCAGGGCTGGTGGACAAGGGTGAACCAGGGTCCTGCAGACGGCGAAGCCGACTATTAGTTTCCTGCCAAAACCTGGCAGACATGACAATGCCACGAGGCTCCTTAGGGCCCTTGACAGCCCCGGAAGAGTCATGTGCTCCAGAAGTGCTCCCAGAGGAAACACTATCAGTATCAGAAGCAGTGAGATCACAAGACATTGAAGACTTACTCACCAAATTCCCACCACCACCGTCATTATTATTATGATTATTAGCATTGGTAATAGAATTATTATTAGCATTACTATTACCCTTCAACAACTCAACTTTCCCCAAATCCAAACTCAACCCTCCTAACCCATCAAAAGAAGCCCTTCTCTTTTCACCTTCCACCACCATTGACTTCTGCAAATCCCTCACCACTTTCCCAAACCCATTCCCAACAACCTTCTTCTTATCACTGATATCCACACTCTTGGAAAGATGATCCACTTGCCTGGTCCTCGCCGGCCACCGATGCTGATCCACAGGCCTTGAATTCTCCCCCTTCACTGGAGTGGCCCTCCGTCGCTCCGGCGTCGCGGCCTTCCGCGGCGGAGGGGTGGCGGCGGTGGCTTTGGTCTTGCTAATGGGCAGCGAAAAGGCCTCTCCTTGAAAGGAAACCGACAGGCTCCGAGTGGAAGTCACCAGAAGCTTTGCCGCCTCGGGAAGCGGCATTGAGGAGCGCGGGTGGCGACAGTCCACCGATTGGGAACGCTTTGGTACCAAAGGGGTAGAGGAATTGGTGGAATGAGAAAGAAGAGGGGAAGGGAATCGACGAGAAGAAGAACTTGTCGTTGATGTTGAGGTTGAAGTTGTTGTTGTTGTTGTGGTTGAAGAAGGCGAGGGTGAAGGAGAGTGAGACATGTACCTTGAAGAAACTTGCCTACCCTTTGGTCTTCTGGGTATGGTGCCATTGCTGCTGTTGTTGTCTTTCTCAGAAGAGGTCAATGGGTCTTCCGAAATGGCAGCCACCATTTCCTAAAGCTTAGAACCTTCCCTCACATTGCCTCTCTCATGAGGGTTTTCCTTTTCTCATTCCCCAAAGCTCAAATCTTGACCCTGTTTTCCACCCTGCAGATCAGTGGGTGTGGTTCAGATTCAGCATTTGAGAGGAACAGTGAGTGAGTGAGAGAAATAGCGATGCAGGGTGTGGGATTTTGGAGAGAAAGAGAAAGAGAAAGGGAAGTAGGTGTTAATTAAAAAAGAGAAAACAAAAATAAAAATAGAAATACAGAGAGTGTGTAATATAACGTGTAGAGTGGAGTGTTCCACAGGTGAGTGAGTCTTTGGAGAAACGTTATGAGGTGTTAATGTTAATAACTCTGTTATTCCTAAGTTTATTGTTTATTACTTTTTCTTCTTCTTAATATTCCTTTACCTTACAATTTGCCATTTTATTCTTAGTGTGTAACCTAATTATGCCATGCTATGTTAAAATTTATCGCTTCCTTTTACTTCTAAGGAAGGGAAGAAAAAAACAAAAAATGAATATAATATATACATATGTTGTATTTATAAAAGGAATGGAAATTTTAAAATAAAATAAAATAGTACTACCATTTAACCATAAACAAAGTAATGTAATGAGGGAAAAAATGGAAAAAAGCTTCATAGTTAAAGTTTCTTACTAGTTCAAATTTAGTTCACTGTAAAGATGTTTTTGTTTCTCTCATTGGATGGATTTGATTTTGAATTAGTGCTAGTAGGTATTTTAAAGTGAAGTAAAATGTATAGAGAATAATCAAAATTTTGAAAAATTAAAATTATGAGATTGACGTACGTTATACTGCATAGAAAAACATTTTAAACTATAAAAAGTATATTGAAACTATTTATTTTTATATAGAATATTTATTTTCTTTTGAGTTTTATTAATTTTAGTTGTTATATTAAAAAAAATCAATCTACTACATAAATACCCAAAAAAAAATTACATTAAAATATATCTCCTTTTTATGTTAAATTTTATTCCAAAAAAAAATGTACATGGCTATATTTTCTAATAAAATCATTTCAAATTAATTTTCCATCAACTTTTAAACGTTCTCTTTAAATCGAAGTTATTTTATTATTATATATTAAATCAAGGTATTACTTTGAGACATGCTTAACTTTTTAGTAAGGAGAATCGCATGTCTTTCTTTAATTCAAACTCTTTTCGGCCAACAATATACTTTCTTTACATTGAAATGCCAGTAAGTTATTGGCGTAATGCATGATACATTGTTTTTTCAATATAATTTTAGAATAATTTAAGAATAAGGCATATAGCATTCTTTAAGGGAGAATTAGCTAAAAAGTTGTCACACTCTAGAAAATGTAGTTTAATTTAATATGTAAAAGTAGAGTATTGTTAATGGCATCTTTTTTATGTTGTCAAGTTACCGAAAGAAATTAATAGCAAATATATGATTACGTTACTTTATACCAACACATAATTAAAGAGTAATTAAAAAATAAACCTTCTTTCGGTAACTAATTATAGTTTTCATAAATTCTGACCATAAATTGAGCTTTCACCAATCATGGCCATCCCTTTCGTAAACTGATACTGCATCAATTTATGCTCTCTTCAAACATTCAAACTCTTTCTTATTTTCATGGAATTCTCGGTTCAGTTAGTAGCTTGGCATTTCAAAACATTTGGTAGGAGAGATTTGAAAACAAAGAAAGCAAGTAGGCCACATTTTTATACTTCAATTAAACTTAAATACATTACATTACATTACATATCTCATTTTATTTTCATTTTCTGCTTACCAAACATGACACTAATGGTGTTCCCTTCAAGTCTTCGGCTAAGCCACTGTCATGAATGATACATTTCCACAGCTACAAGTACATGAATAAGGAAAAACCAACACTTATTTAAGTATACACATATTATTCTCAATATTCACAACCCCATTTCCGCTATTTCCTTCTTATTCCGTGTGTTAGTGAATTAAGCACTGATTGTGTAGGTAGCTTCCAAAATTAGTCAGTCACAAGATTCAACCCACAGCTACAGACATTGTTTGGATTTAGCTATTTCTGCCATGAGGATTACATGGTTGTCTTTTTCATGTCGTTGTGAAACATTAATTTTAATTATAACTCAAAGGTATTATAATATGTAGTAGCATGTTTGATTTCGTATCAAAGAATACAAGAAGGACTTCACTATATATATATATATATATATATATATGTATATTTACTATGTGATGTCGTGTGATTTCACGTGTGTATATGGTGTGTATAAAATATAAGAATGCGTATATAGAGTAAGATTTGGCAGTGGTGTGACGTGAGATAGATGGATCACTTCATTGGGAAAGAGATGAATGAGCTAACCATAATGAAAGGAGCTCTAAATCAAATACAGTGGTTGATGCTATCAGTGAAATGCCCAAAAGGCTTAGGCGTTATCAACCAGAAAGGCAATGTTGCCTAATTGTGATTTTTGCAAGCTAAGCTATAATCAATTTATTATTATAACTAGATTAAGATGCCACATCCCTTTCTGTCACTCTCCATCTACGCCATTCATTGCAACCATTGAACGCATCTCATTATTTCTTAATATCAACATCCTCCCTCCACTTTCTTCTTTCTTCTCTCCAACCTTTGGTTTTCTTCTACCCTCTCTATCTTCTACTGCATTTCATTCAGATAAAAAACGCATCTGCTTGCTTCTTGTTTGATCTCAAAGCATCTTCTCTTTTAAAAATAGTTAAGATGGTGACTATTTCCTAGGCTGAGGGCTTAGCTCTTCACTTATTTAATTAATGGACTACATTAAAATTATTCCTTGCTGTTGTCACGGGTTCACAGTTATTCTAACTGAGATGAATTTACCAAGTAGATTAACAATTGAGTTAAGTGATTAAAGTAGTGCTATATTTAAGATTTCTGAAACTTGTAAGGTACTGGTTTATTTGATAAAACATAATATTAGGCTTTTCAGTATTTGCATATAATTCCAAATCTTGACTTGTATTGAAGCAACCCTTTCCTTTCCTTTATAGTCTAATTTTACTCTTCTTTCCATTTATGAGAAAAATGTGTTCCATATTGTGATAATGTAGCATCAGAACCATAATTACTTTAGCATTTGCCTATGCCTAGAGACGTCTCTATCCAAAATAGTTTCCAGGTGATCCTATAAACAATAAAACTCACAACAAACTTAGGACTTGGGGTTGGTTGAATTCTTCTTTGTTTTCCTGTTAACTGATAATTAGTTAGATGTTAGACCAACATGATTATCAACCCCAACCAGCTACTTCAACGGAGAAGGACACTGATTGTTCAGTCCTGAGTTTCTTACTTGTTTTCTGCTGCACACTGCTCATAGCCAGATAATATTGATTCTGTATAAAAACTACAGGTTCATATTCATAATTGTGAATAGTTTTAGATGAAGCACTCACTTCAGTTAACATTCATTGATTTATTGATTGATTGTAATTCATGTTTAGCATTAGAAAACACTTAAAAAAAGAAGATATGGTTACGGTATTTGATTAACGAATCCCTGCCAAATGTATCACGGAAAGATGAGAAAGGCATAATTCTTTGAAGGCATATAACTTAAGTTACACTCAATGGAATAATTGGATAAAAAGTAAACACACACACTCATAGATGTCCGTTTATAGGGTATTAATTAACTTTGCTTCGGAAGTTATTATAGGCTTAAGGAAATAATTCTTCCTCTGTCCCATATCTTTCCAACTTTGCTTCTCCTTTCCAACTCAACCCTACCAAGGAAAGTGTGTGATTATTTTATCAATGGGAGAGAGAGGGAAAAAATGTGATAAGCAACTTTGGGGCTCAAAGTTGGTGTCTGTGTTGGCGGCTATTCTGCATGCTCAAAAATGTGATAATTATTATATTAAGCTGGGGTTAATAACACTTGAAGCCAAAGATTCAAGATTCCTGATAATTGATTTGTTGAGTTAATTCTTTGAGTACTTAAGAAAATAACCTCATTCTATGGAATTTCCTATTTTATGGCTTAACATTTTGGTTTTCATTCTTGTTTTGGAGGATGACTACATTTGACGACACAACCAAAACAAAAAGAAAAGTAACTTGAATTTTGTACCACCCTACCCTAATATGGATAAATTGAATACTCTTAGAGGTTAAGTTTCTATAAAATCATTCATTTTCATAATACATCTCATTAATTAAAAAGCAAAAACTCCAAGGGTCATCATCCCCTTATAGAAGATTTGATGGTGTAATCTCAGAGTAACTTAATGTAGACATTTTGGAAATGTTTAGGCCACTTCAAAATAAGCAACCAATACAAAGAGCCTTTTTACCACCCTCTTCTATTCCTATCTTAAAGCAGTGCTGGGCAAAAATATTACTGGACTATAATTATTAACGCAGCATAAAATTCAGTGAAAAGTTCAATCATCATAATCTGTGAACAGTCCAATTTTTGTTAGGAGAAAGGGATACCGAAAATGACAGCTTACTTGTGTAACGAAATATTCTTTTCAAAAGTCATGCACTATACAGTATACCATTTAAGAGGTCACCTCTTGCACGGTCACTACTTGCTTATTATGATACAACAAACTCGTTGTTTGTGCATTCAATCCTTCTACTTGGATCTCTTCAACAGAGTATGAACACTTTCCCAAGAAGTCCATAAATATGGATTTAAATCATCTGCATTTTTCCATAAGTACTACAAGTTGTGATTCTCTCTCTAACTCATATCCTTAAACTATGTCTGAAAGCCGTGACACAACATCATACGTAGTAGAACTCATTTTGGGGATAAGATCTTCCTTTAAAACATTTTGGGGTGATGCAATAAGTTGGTTAGGAGTGGACCCTGTGCACAGCTTTAGAACTAACTCTCCATGCTCCCGAATTAGGTGATTCGCAGAGTGGAAAGTATTTCTTTTATTCCCTTATGTTAGTTATCATAAGGACCACTATGATCTGTTCAAATTTGAGTTTAATTTCTGTATATTATAGATATTCAATTGAAATTATAGATATGATATTTAAAATAGCTATTATAAAATCACAGAAGTTGTTATCTTTTAAATAGTTAGTGTAAAATTTTAGACTAGTAGATGTACCATTTGTTTCTATAGATTTAATCACTTCACCACACCTTTTCTCTTTTGCAACATCTTACCAATAAAAAAGTACCGCTCGTGCCACTCTTGTCTTTTATGGATCACACTACCTTAACGAATCCTTATCCTTTGCAATTTGTTTATAGTTACAGGTTTCCATCAAAATCTGACGTTGTT